AAACCACTCCAGTAACTTTGCCAAGAAAATCCCTAATGGGGTCACAAAGAGTCAGATGTGACTGAAAATGACTGAACAATAACAAAAAGTTAAAATAAAAAGTGATTGCTTCCCCAGGGTCCCTCCACCTCCTGTATCCAAATTAATTTGAATATATGTTTTGTGTGATGCCCCTGGGAGGCAAACACCTTAACAAGAAAGAAGGGTAGGGACAGCTAGGTGGTGCAGTGGATAAAGCACTGACCCTGATGTCAGGAGGACCTGAGTTCAAATCCAGCCTCAGACCAAACACTTGACACTTACTAGCCATGTGACCCTGGGCAAGTCACTTAACCCCAATTGCCTAAAAATCAAAAGAAAGAAAGAAAGAAGGGTACTTCTTCTGAAACTCAACTAATAGTTATGGTCCCTAGAATGGGATGTTGCTTTATAATTGATCAGGTGACAACAGCTGATTATATACTGACACCAAATGATTATATCTATAATCAGTTCTATGGAAAAGCAATCAGTCCATCATGGCAGAGGTTGAGTACTTATGCTGTGCTATGGATGCAGAGGAATATAGAAGAAATATAAAGACAAAGCCTTTGTCCTCCAAGGAGACTATAGCATAATTGGCAAGACAAGCTATGTGACACAGGAAAGATGCAAAACTATGTTTTAAATGCCGGATTGTGTGGTCTAAACTCAAAGTAACTCCCTTACTCAGGGAGGATGGCAAGACAGACTATTCAGTTTGTCTGACCTGATTTCTATTGGGTTTAGGGACACTTGATCATTTCAGTCATGCCAAAATTGAGCATCTGGACTATTTGGGGGCCATCTTAAAACTCCTCACGTGCCTGGGTTAGTATATGTCTCCCAATCCTTTGCTACGTGTGATTCCTTGTTAGATAGTGATTTATCTGCATGAGTATATAATAATCCCATTCTTCTTCTGGCTACTACCCTAGTTTGAGACCGTATTATTCGGACCATTGAAATAATCTTCTTACTACTCTACCTGCTTCTAATCTGTCTCCAATCCAGTCCCATCTTCACATAGCCACTAAAATAATTTTCCTAATAAAAGTATCTATGTCATGTCCCACCTCAAAAATTTTCCATGGGGGCATCTGTGGCTTTGGAATCAGGAGGACCTGAGTTCAAATCCAGCCTCAGACACTTAACACTTACTAACAAGTCTCTTAACCCCAATTGCCTCACCAAAAAGCAAAAAAAAAAAAATCTTCCATGCCTCCCCATTGCCTAGCAAATGAAATACAAAATCCTTAGCCTGGCATTTAAGGATCCTCAGTCAGCCTCCAGGCTTTCCAGCTTTATTCCACAATATTCTCACTGCTTCATTTTACTCAGCAAACAATTTGAACCAGTTCATCTCACTCTGCTCTCTGCTTCTCCCTGTTCTTCCTCTTTAAACAGTCCATCCCCAATGCATTCTTTCCATCCTTCTGCCAGTTGAAATCCTCTTTCTCCAAGGTATAGCTCAGGCGCCATCTCTCCCATGCAATCTTCCCTGATTCTCTTGGTGATTTGCTTCTCCTCAAATTCCTTAAAGCAATTTGCCCAGATCTCCCCTTTGACATTTTCACATTCTATCTTATACTTATTTGTTTACTAGGATGATTAGGACCCATTAAGGAAACTTTGGGTTCAAATGCTGTCTTTGACACTTAATTGCTCTGTGACCATAGGCAAATCACTTAACCTCTCTGAATCTCAGTGTCCTCATCTATAAAATGGGGATAATAATACCTGTAGAACCTACCTTAATAAGTTCTTGTGGTGATCAAGCAAGATAATGTAAATAATATTATTTGAATACCTTAAGCACTATATCAATATTAGTTGTTATTGTGGTATATATACATATAACTTATACCTCCCCACCCTTATTACATTTCAAAATGCTTTGATGGCATGAATGTTTCAAATTCCTGACAGGTGGTGTTGTTGTTCAGTCGTGTCCAACTTTTCATGATCCCATTTGAGATTTTCTCGGCAAAAATACCGGAGTGGTTTGCCATCTCCTCATTTTACAGATGAGGAAACTGAGGCAACTAGAGTTAAGTGATTTGCCCAGGATCACACAGCTAATATCTGAGGCCAGATTTGAACTCAGGAAGATATATCCTCCTAACTCCAGGCCTGGTGCTCTATCCACTGCGCCACCTAGATGCCCCTAGGAGCAGCTTGGCGGCTTCTTAAAAGGAGGGAGGGTGATGAATGGGGGAGTGTTGGGAAATAAGGGTAAGAATTCCGGTGTTGGAGACAAACTCCACAATTACTCCACCCCCAAACTCCTAAGAACACGATGCCCCTCCCAGGTTAAATTCATCACCTCTAATCTCATCACCATGCTGCTAACTCAAGCCTTGATTGATAGCACCTATGTTGGCCTCCTCTCCACTCTGATTTTGGGGGCTAGAAGGCTGAAGGGCTGGGGTGGGGGTAGGGTGGAGTACCAACCTCTTACCAATACTTGCCTTTATAGAAAGTGGAAACTAGATCTTGACAATTTACTCCCTTCTATATCTGCTTCTTTGCCGGGTTTTACCTTCAGAGAACAAGATGCCACCGGGTGTCCCCCTAACCCTTTGCCCTTTTCCTATTTCCTTTTGTATATTATCTCCTCCCTTTTGATTGTAAGCTCCTTGAAAGCAATAACTGTTTTCCTTGTTATTACCTGTATCCTCAGTGCCTCACACGTAGTAAATGCTCAATAATTGGATTGACTGTTACTCAACTTCCCATGTGATCAGTTGGTCATATATCCCTGGGGTCCCAGCCCCTACCATGGAGTCTATTACTGTAGGCAATAAAGAGCCACTGTAAGTTGTTGAGAAGAACCATAGGATCATAGATCTACAGATGAAAGAGGCCTTATAATTCGTCAAGTCTAAATCCTCTCACTTTATAGATGAGGAAATGGAGGCCTATGGCAATTAAATGGTGTCATTCATCAGACTTGCCCAACCTCACATAGATAGTAAGTGTTGGATAGAGCTGAACCTAGGTGCTCTGACTGAAGAGCCTGTCCTTTTCATCCTTGTGTATTAGGATTATTTTGGCAGGACTGTGCATGATTTAAGAAAATAGATTTAGAACTAGAAGCAACCTCAGAGAGCAGCTAGGTAGCCCAGTGGATAGAGTGCTGGGCCTGGAGTCAGGAAGACCTGAATTCAAATCCAGCCTCAGACATTTACTAGTTGTATGACCTGGGCAAGTCACTTAACCCAGTTTGCCTCAGTTTCCTCATCTGTAAAATGATCTGGAGAAGGAAATGGCAAACCACTCCAGTATTTTTGACAAGAAAACTCCAAATGAGGTCAGAAGAGTCAGAAATAACTGAACAATAACAACAGTTTAACCCCCTTGATTTATAAATTAAGGAAATTGAGGCAGTGAGAAATGATCTGGCTTGCCCAAGGTCCCACAGATTATCAGTGACAGAGCTGATTTTCAAACACAAGTTCTTTGACTTCAAATCCTGTGTTCTAATTGATTGGACAGGAGAGCGGTTGGATATAGGGAGCTTGTTAGAAAGCCGTGTGTTTTATAAGGAAAGAGGAGAATCCCAGGTCTGGAAACTAGAATTTAGCACCTGAGAGCATTAGACCTTAGAAGTCAGTTCTTTAGAACTGGAAGGAGTATTATAGTTCATTTAATCCAACCCCATCCAATAAATTAATTCCTTATTAGGATATTGCCAGTCAGCACTCAGCCAAATCTCTGCTCAAATACTCTCATGTTGTGTAATTTACTTTCTCTAGTGCTTAAATCAATTTTCCACTCTAGTCCTTCTATTCTTTTATTAACAACCTTTTCTCCTTCTCCCTTTTGCTTCCCCCCAAGAATGCACATACAGTATCCTTTCTTCTTGTTTCACCTTCTAGTATTACTGGCTACAGAAATTAGTAGAAAGAACACTGGACAATCAAGGGAGGAGGGTTTGAGGCCTGCGTCTGACACCACTAGCTGTGAGACCTTGGTTACTACTTTCCCTTAGCTTCAGCTTCCTCATCTTTAAAATGGGAACAGTTAAGACCTACCCTGCTAGCACATAGGGCCGTTGGTAATGTAAAAGTACTTCAATAATGGTAAAGCGTTTTGTGTGACTATTATACAATTGCCCATTAGTTACTGCTTTTCACGGGGTAATGGCTGTATAAACCCTGTCCAAGTTGAGGGTGAGAGGGTCAAGGGAGAAACGCAGAGAGCAGAGCTTTTCTTTTCATCCTCTTTGCTCAAGAATTAGGCTGGGCAACCCAGTCCTTTTGACCAAGTCCACCGAAGTGGCGGAGAAGTGAGGCGGGGAGATGCGGAGGGAGGAACGACCCTTCCCCCTCCTTTCCTTTTCCCATTGGCTTCTCCTTGCCATGGTTTCGACCGCTACTGGCCTTCCCGGCCGTCCATCAGGCCTGCCCAGTCCCGCCCCTCCCAGAGTTTATAACGGGGATTCTCATGGCCCAGGGATAAGGCTTTTAACCTGCTACCTCGGTGGGACTGGCAGAGCTCAGCCGAGCCCACGCAGAAGAGCACGCGCTCGCGGTCGGCTGCAGCCCGGGCTCTCCGCCTGCCTCCGCATCCCACGCCTGCTCCCTGTTTCATGACCGTGCTTTTTGAAAGCAGCCTCCAGGAGTACTCGCCTCGGGACCTCCCTCCTCTCCCACGAACCGCGAGTCTCCTCCAGGGGAGAAGCAGGGGGTGGGGAGGCGGTGTGTGCGGAGCCTGCTACCCACCCCACGACCGTCGCTGTCAAAATGCTTCCCGGGCGCTGGGGCCGGCTGGTGACTTCCCAGCTGCTCCTGGTGCTGGTGCATCTCCCACAGACTCCCAGCCACAGAGCTACCGGACCCCGGGTAAGTGCGGGCTCCCCGGAGCGGGCAGAGGGACGCAGAGGCGAAGCCCTGCCTCTGCTCCTCCATCCCACCCCCGCTCACACTGCCACCTGGGAAGAGGCAGCTGTGCCTAGTTCCAATGGCATTTCTCCTTACCTCTTAAAAAAGAGCGAAGGTCTGCTCCTTTCCCCGCTTTCCAGTCCGTGCTCTTGCTGACTTAATTTGAGAAGAGCCTGAAACAGAGCGGGTTTTCTTCAGCTGCTTCCTCTTACTTTGCTGCAGCTTCTCTGGGACTGTCAGGTTACTACAGCTAAGTTAGAGATGGGGCTTTCCCCCCCCCCCACCTCCCTTCTCCCGAAGTATTTGGATCTAAAGGTGTTCGGCGTTCTCTCCTGCTTTGTGGCTGATTACTAGTTTCATTATCGCCTCAGTTGTTCTAGCATCCTTCCTTTCCACAACTTTGCTGATTGCCCCAATTCCTGCTGATTCCTGCTTATGGAGTCTCACCTAACGTATCGGTTTCCTGTTGTCACAACCTGCAACTGCTTCCTCAGTGCTAGGGGCTCTGGCAGGGAACAGTGCTTCTCTTCGTCCCCACCTTTCCCCGCCCCCACACAGTTTTAAGTTATCTAACCAGTAGCAAAACAAAATCTGGTGGGTTTTTTCTTTAAATGAACATTTCTAATTAAATCAAAACAAAATCTTGGTGTTCATATGTAGGGCATGACTGAAATGCTGGGGGTGGGGTAGCGAATAGCTATATAGTGAGGGAATAGAAGAAAAAATGTGCAGCATGAAGTAGCAACTCTGCATGTTTCCAACACTGCTCTGTTTGGAAATTGTATGATTCTGACCTTTGCTCTGTTTGGGAAGAGGGATAAAATGCAATTCTTATTCGGAGAACAGGATTGTCCCTGGTGCACTATATCGACAAACAACTTGTAAATTTCCTTTATAGGTTTCCCTCCTACAAGTTTAAAGTAAAATAAAATCATTCTGTAGTCTTTAACAGTTCAGTTTTTGCAAACTCCAGACCATCTCCAGCCCAGAGATGAACTATTTACTCATCTGTACCTAGGAATAGCTGTTATCCCAAGTCAATATGAATGTTCAAGACGTTTAAAAAAAAAAACCTAAACTTGATTTTTATGAAAGCCAACTGACTCTTCTATCAGTGTGTGCTCTGCTAGATAATCTCCCTGGCTTTTCTCTTGTATCTGTTTTAAAATCTCAGAATCTTTTTAACCCCTCACTGCTATATGAGAATCATCTTTATAGCGGTAGCCTGGGTGTGAAAGAAGAGAAAATGGAGAGACTTAATCACTCATCAGACATAGTAATTTCGTTTGAAGCCCCTTTATCATTGTGAGATCAGTGTTCTAGCCACTCTAGGAAAGAAAAGTGCTTGTCTGTGTTGGGCTGTACCTTGCTTTTATGACCAGATGTGTAACAGCAGCAGTTAAAATGTGGCCGATTAGACCCAGTGTGTGTCCTAAAGCCTTGGCAGCAGAATTTTCAAGTTTAGAGCAAGTAAGGGTTCTCTGTGTGAGTGACTTTTATGGATGTAGATGAGGATGCCTTTTAAATGAAGCCACTTGATGTGATATGAAAGCCTCTTAAACTGAGGGGTTGGGTGAGCAAGGGTGTTTCCTCCAACTAATTAGGAACAGCAAAGACTGGAGAAATAGACTAGAGCTCTCCCAAATAAAATAAAGTTGCCAGCCTCCCCACCATGATGGCCAAGATTAGTTTATCTAACAAATGGTTTGGGGGTGAAATCTTGCTTTGCATTCCTAGTTTTGTAAGTCATCTCTCTTCATTTATTACTTAGAATAAAAACATTTTTTGAGAAATGTAGCTATTATGTCTTTTATTTTGTACCACAGTTATTTGTATTTTTGTATTTCCCCCAGTGCCTAATACTATGTTCTATACACAGTAGGCTCTTAATAAATCATTGCTCAGTAAGTGAATTGAGCAATTGATGAATCTCCCCCTCTCTCCCCCCACCCCCAGCTCCTTTAGCTCATCAATTCAATACAAGTGGTGGTACATAAACAATAAATTGAATAGGCTTCTGTGCCTTCCACTCACATGCACCCACTCCTAACCCCTCAAACACGTGAACCAGTGGTATATTTAAAATTGTACCAGGAGTAAATCCTCTGTTTGAGTTTGTGGTTGTCTTAAGTTACTTAATAGATTTTAAGCATTGAAATTGTACCTATTTAAAGGTCTTATAGGCCAAACCTGACTCAGATTGTCCTAGAAGTTCAAATTTGAGACTGAAATAAAAGGAGACCATCTAATAGTTAACAAAAGAAGATTTACTTGGCCATGGCATGGAAAGGATACGGCACTGGTTCAGGTAGATGCTGCCCCCTTTGTCTCTGTAGAGAAATGGATCTGGTCAGCAGAGTGTGATGGCTTGTGTGACAGTGGGGCTTCCACCAAGTCTGAGGGGCTTCAGAGCCCCTCTCTGTGGGTTGGCTTCTTTTAATGCCCTTAAGCAACCAGGAAATCATATCAATGGCTCAAGCCTTGGCTTTCTGGACAAATCAAGGCTCAAGGATAACTTCCTTGGCTTTTAGGGGGAAAAAAAAAACTAGCACAGCTAAGATTTGTAAAATACTCTAAGGTTTACAAAGTACATTATATGTATTGTCTCATATAATCTCCATAACTATGAGGTAGTGCTACTATTATCCCCATTTACAGATGAGGAAACTGAGGTGGGGAGAGGTTAAGTTATTGCCCAGGGTCATACAGCTAGTAAGTTTCTGGGGCAGGATTTGAACTTGAGTCTACTTGATTCAAAGCCTTCCATGTGTGCAGGGACCATGGTAGATACTGTACTTCTCACATCTCATATAATGGTGGCCAGGTCCTAAAGGTCTTCCAGCAGACCGTTCACTGTTTAAATGGCTTTGGGGCCTGTATTGGGCAATACGAATCTTTGGAAAACAAGAAGCTTAGGGTAGACAGCATTGGAGAAACAAAATGGACAACTAACAAGAAGACAGCCCAAAAAAGCTCTACACAAATTACAAGCAAGCAGTTCGAGGGCCCCCAGAAGAAGTGGCAGAACACGAAAGAGAACAAAGAGCAGAAATCTTAGGTTTCACCTTCCCCTCCCATGAAAGGACCAAGCCCCAGATCTTAAAGATCTGACCCATGTGGTGGGTGACACCAAATCTCTGCGGTTCACAGTGGGTTTCTTGTTATAGAGCGGTGACAACACCAGAACGACAACACGGGACATTTTATCCCAGCCAATGGTTCTCATCATGGCTCAAAGTCTTCTGGAGTCAAATAACTCTCTTGTCTATAATTTGTCCCAGGAGCTGAGGTGATCCTTACACTCCTCCTGAATGACCATTCAGTCATTGTTCCTTGGCCCATCATCCCAAATCTCCCCTTCCCTGGGAGCTCTATCGTATCAAAGATATCAACTTTTTGCCCATTTGGAGGCCTTAGCTGAGGGGCTGTTCCCTACTTCCACAAGAGCTTGGTAAAGATTTGCTCTCATCTTCATCCAGGGGCTCAGGTTTGCCACCAAGTTAGCTAAAGGATCTTTCATTGTGGTAAATTTTCAATGATCATGGCTATGCAGATACAGCTTTACTTTCCCACATATTGTTAGAAACCAACACACCTCACAGTTCTACTCTATGGTCCCTGAAACGCTTCCCTAGAAGATATGTGAACCGTCCTGGAGGAAAGGAGATCTGCTGAGTGAGTCATTTCCTCAGCTTGCATAGACTCCTCTGAGGGATCTGGAACCTTGAGGCCCAGGAAACTGTACAGGAGATAGAATAAGAAAGAGCCTGAGAGGAAGCAACTAAGATACTGTCTAAAGTCAGCCTATCCTTCTCCTTTCCTAGACTATGTCAATTTGTTGAAGACATAGATTACGGGATGTGGGACGGGGAGCTATGACAAATAGGGACATAATAACAAAGCTATTGTTTCAAGAGCCCATCCACATGTTCGACACTCAAAGCAGGATGGAAATGGTAGAGGACAGGTTAAAATTCAGGAGATGTGATGTCCAATTATAGACATCCATGAGGATGAAGTAGGCGCCCTGATCAAAGGCAATGATTCAGGGCTGGGGTATGTCAAGGAAGAAAGATATGTTCTGTGAGAACTTTGGTGGTGGCTGCCACAATGACAGACTTGACTGGCACAATGAGAGCATATGCTTAAAAAGGGCAAACCTCTTGCCTTGAGATGAAGGAAGGAGGCCAGCATAATCTGGTGGCAAGTGGGGAACCATGCAGTATCATTTGGAAGTGGGCACCGATTGGTATGAGAAGCACCATTGTTTCATTCTTAGGGGAATCGTATGGTGTCACACCTGTTGCAAGATGGCATCATAGCCCCCATGTCCAGATTGACTTTGGCTCCAGTACCCAGCCTCTAGCCGAGAGTATATGATGTGTCTGGTGAGCCTTGACGTCCTACAATTGTGTGTTAGGAGAAGGCACCAGGATAATTTCTGACCCTTAGGAACTGACCCCCAGAAATAGAAAAAACTTAGATTGTCCAGTTTTGTTCTTTCTAGGCTTCAGACCACTTAGGCAGTCCCATGGCTACTGCCAACAATAATCATAGATGAAATTTTTATCTACCTCAAAGCTCTGTAGGGCCCCACAGTTGAGTCCCCAGTGAGGATCTGACTGGACACCTATTCTGCAGGATATCCCTCATTACCTGCTTAGTGGTAGGTGGCAGCTTGGTAGCGCATTGGATAGAGCGCTGGGCCTACAGTCAGGAAGCCTCATCTTCCTGAGTTCAAATCTGACCCCAAACACTTAATAGCTGTGTGACTCTAGACAAGTCACTTATCCCTGTTTGCCTTAGTTTCCTCATGTATAAAATGAGCTAGAGAAGGAAATGGCAAACCACTCCAGTATCTTTGCCAAAAAAACACCAAAATAAGGTCACAGTTGGACACAACTGAAATGAGTGGACAGCAAAAGTTGGGTGGTACAGTAGGTAGAGTACTAAGCCTATAGGAAGATCTGAATTCAAATCCAGCTTCAGATATATACTAGCTATATGACCCTGGGCAAGTCATTTAACTTTTGTCTCAGTTTCCTTATCTACAAAATGGGGATAATAATGTCCACATTACTAGGTTGTAATAATAACCCAATATCATAGGGTTGTGGTGAAAATCAAATGAGATGATATTTGGAAAGTGTTTAGCACACAGTTCTTATTTCCTGCCTTCTTTCCTTCCTTTCTTAATGGCCACTGAACCACTTGAGCATGCTTCTCTAGTAGCAGATGGTGCTCTTGGGGAAGCAGGCAAAATGGTATTCCTCCAGATCTGGGTCCTCATAGATAGGGGCCCATTGGGTTAGTGGAGGAGTCAGGGTATTGGGACTTGGATGGGAAGTCCCCGTCTCTGGCAGAACCAAGACCTGTTTCTGAAAGGTACTAACACCTAAGGAACTAGGTGAGATATTTAATGGACCATTTCCATTTAACAGAAGTATCTTGTGCTCTGACTCTGTTAGAATGACTATCTTGTATCACCCAACTCTTAATAAACAACTCTTGCTAAAGAATGATAG